GTCTCGGTTCATGTACTCTAGAGAAAGTCCGGACACATCTTCATTCATGATCAGGCTCGTTTACTCAGGCTCCACCTCTGACCTACCACGTGCTGCCATTTGGCATCTGCTGTTACCCAATGTTCAGCGTAATGAACAGTAAATGCGACTTGTTTGCCACCCTGCGTTGGTGCTTCTTTTGGTGGGGTTGGCAGACGCTAGCGTGACATGTTACCATCTTGTTGGATTGCCGTGGCCCACGGTGTACCCTCTCTATGGAGTTACACAATGAAGAATTAATACGAACATCACGATTATGCAGCCTGAGCAAGGAATGAAAAGGAGCTGTTTTCACTAGAAAACACTGGACAAGTTGCCTAAACTTTCCATGCCTTAGTTTGCTCATCTGTAAAATGTCCTCTCTCTGTCTTGAGATTATAATGATCAGGTCCTGGGTTTTAGAATCGTTTCTCCCGGCACCTCATTCAGATGTTCAACGATACTTACTGAGCGCATACTACGTGCCAGTCACTGCCCCGGGTACAAATTCAACGTATCGTTAAAGTGAAATCCTTATCTTCCCTTCCTCAAGCCAGCTTCTGCCCCGTATTCTCTTTCTCAGTAGTGGCATCAACACCCACCCAACTGCCCAAGGCAGAAGCCCCTGGGAGTCAACCTCAGTGCTTCTCTCTCCCTCAGCCCTATATCCAGTCACTGACCAAGTCCCCTCAAGTGTCCCCTTGCCCATTTAAAAAGTCTGCTACTCCCTTGCCGACCTGCCTCCATGTCTTGGCCCCGGTGGTCCCCCTGCCTTAAGCACTCTTCTTCCTGATGACATCATCTCCTCGGTGACATCTTCCTGATGACATCATCTCCTTGGGGACATGCTCTTCAACTCATTTTATCGAGAGCTGCTCCCCAGCCCTATTCTTAATAACGTTACCCTGTTTTATATCTTGTTAGCACTAATACTACCTGAGAACGGATTTTTACTCCCTTTTTGTCTGTCTCCATCACTAGAATCTAAGCTCCGTCAGTGCAGGGACCTGATTTGCCTCGTTCACCACTATTCCAGACAATGGGGACATAGCTAGTATAGTCACTCTCTATTGTACTTAAAATCCAATTCTCTAAGTATTCCCCACCTGTACCCACCGTGCTGACTGGTCTCATGACCGTAAACCTCGTGAGTCCCTCACAGAGCTACCATATTGCTCTAGTCAAGTCGCCTTCCCACTTCCCCAAACAACCATGTCACACCTTTCCCTCCTCCGACGCCGAAATCCCCTCCCCTTCCTCCAGCTCGTCTGATGAGCTTGCTTCTTATTTTAGACAACAAAACAGTTTGAAGACAACGTCCGTGCACTCTCGCCCCTCAGTGTGTCCGTATGCTGTGCCTCTGCGTGTCCCCGTGCACGAACTACGTCCCGCTCCTGTGCAGGCACCCGCCC